TTTATCAACATAGCAGGATGCATGTAGTGGAACTGACAGATTAGTCTGGGCGATTTGGGCAGTGTGTGTATTATGAGACATCATATGAAATGCTTTGAGATCTTTCTCATTGCAATCTTTAAAAAATGTTCATATTAGTATATACGTTCAAGAGAAAATAGACTAAGTTCAGGTGAACTTTATCATTCATATCAATCTTTAAAAGGTATTTTCTTCTCAAATCATAATACCTAGCAAATATTGGACTGTATAAAAAATCATGATGCATTTTTGCATAGAAAAATATGTCATGACTTTTCTAGTGACCCAATAATATTGCACTTTCTAAAAAATAGTGAGACTGTTCTTACTTTAGGATACCTTTGAGTTGCTGTGTTCATAAACTGAATTTAAAATACTGCTTAGTGATTTTTATAAGATATTACAGTGACCATGGGAGTGCAGAGAGCTCTACAATGGGACTTCAAAAAGTCTGTAGAAAATGAGATTAAAGTATGACTTCATTTTTCAGGATCAGCAGAAGCATAATGGTTATGTCGCTGGACTCTCATGTAGTTAACTGTGGTTTGAGTCCCAGACCTGGCGGTTTAAAATTCACATGGGGTGTGTGCATCCTGCATGCCCAAAATCCTAAGAGGAGAATGGAGGAGAAGGGATTGTGGTGTGGCCATCCCCTTCTGGGGTTGGGGGGTGACTTCTTGTTTTCTGTCTCTCTGACAAGAACACGTGCCCTATAACAAAAATCTCTCTTAAAAAAGATATGACTTCATTTTGGTACAAAAATTTTTTGAAATTCATGCACAGTTTAAAAAGAAAAAAAAATAAATCACATATTTTCCGTGAACTTTTTGATGACCACCTTCATATAGACACTGGTAATGACCTGCCATGGCAGCTGTACTGGCAATCCATCTATACTATGGGCTCACCTCACCACTGGATAGAACCAACTCAGTCTTCACTGCTTTTCTCTGTATGTCCCTGAATAAAGTCCCATTCTGGGACTTGACAACTTATACCCCACTTTCACATATTTTTCGTGAACTTTTTGATGACCACCTTCATATAGACACTGGTAATGACCTGCCATGGCAGCTGTACTGGCAATCCATCTATACTATGGGCTCACCTCACCACTGGATAGAACCAACTCAGTCTTCACTGCTTTTCTCTGTATGTCCCTGAATAAAGTCCCATTCTGGGACTTGACAACTTATACCCCACTTTGCATGGGTATAAGACAGGGACCCAAACCTTTATTTACTCCTGGGCCTACAAAATGGAAGAATTGGAAAGAATTTTGTCACTTACTAATTAAAAACTGAGGCCTTTTCACCTGACTACAGAGAACCTCATAAGCATTTATGATATCTTGTGTTTTTTTTTAAGATTTATTTAACTTAGTATTTTTAATTTTATACATTTAATTACTATACATCACTTTGCCTGTAAGTTGAATTTACCCAACATGAATATACTTCACACCAGTCCAGTTGAGGATACAAAACACATTATCAATAGATAATAGCTCCTTTCTGTGTCCCATCAATGTCCTATCTCTCTATTTTCCCCCTTATTTCTTTCCTTGTTATTATTTTTAAATTTGCTATAGGCATGTGCACTCACCAGAGAGAGAAAGAAAGTGAAAAGCAAGCCATCAGGTCTGGGACTCCAACTGCCGTCGAACATGGGGACACCAGTGCCTTAACCACCATGCTGCTAGTCCCTCATCTTGTTTATTTTTAAGTGTAAATGTTTTAACTTTCTGCTTATTATACACAGTTTTATATAAAGAAAAAAATAAGTATTAAGCAAAGAGATTTCTTTCTCTAGGACAATGCTTTATGTGCTTTACAAAACTAGGGCTAACATCCAAACTGTCAGCAAAGAACCTGGCCAAAGCCACAAAAGATATCTGACATGCTTGGGATTCCAACTGACAACTACATTCTTATTCCTGTTCATCTAAAGACAAATGGGCACACGTTTATAAACTTGGGAATAAAAATGAATACCTTCTAATCAAGGAACAGTGAGCAAGCTCTTATCATTGAAAATCAAGTGTTCAAATATTGAAACTAATTTATGCAGGAATGTGAGCTTATTCATTCACTTGACCTTGTGAATCAACTAACATCATGCAGTCAGAAATAGTCTCTGCAGGGAAATCTCACCATACTGTTTTTTGTCGTAGTACTATTAATAACATCTGAAAATAAGTTGTATCCAGCCCAAGCCTCAACCGCCCATGCGGATTCCCTTTCCATGATTCTCATTGCTGAGATCCATTTGTCGTGCTCCAGCCTAAGGTCTCATCCACTGTCTGTGCTCAGTCCGTTTGTATTTGGGGAACTAGTTGCATTTGGTAGGTCCATCATAGATATCTTAGCCGTAAAGGAAGGCAACCCTGTCAAGTACATAAATTTAACAAATACTATCTGTGAACTGAGAGAGAAAATCTAACTGTATTCTTTGCAAATATCCAGTAGTATATTTCAAACAATGGATTTTCTTTGCATTAAAGTACTTTGACTTACACGGATATTTAACTAAATCTAAAACATTGTTTTCCCATTTCTAACACCTCTGAAACCAGCAAGAACTTGACATAATATAACCGACATCTTTCCTCTTGTTGAGGTATATGTAGTGATGATGTATCATAGACTCAATAAAACACAATCTTCCCTAGTCAGTTCTTGGAAAACAGAAACAAACACAATTTTTTAAAAAAGAAACTTTCCTTAATAAAAAACAGCAATAGCAACTAATTTAAAAGCACCTAATTGATCATTTTCACTTATGAAGCTGTTTAATCTGTTCTACTCTTAACTATATATACAAGTACTATGTATTTAAATATACATACACATATCAGGTATAGTTGAAGATTCTTCTGATTGTCCTTCAAGACCTCTAACACTCTTACAGATTTTTAAAAATCAATCGGGACTAGCAGATGGTGTAATGGCTACATCGCTGGACTCCCAGGTAGTCACCGCGGTTCAAATACCAGACCCAGTGGCTTAAATTCACCCCAGGTATGAATGTATGTGTGCCCAAGATCTCAAGAGGAGTATAATGCATGTGTGCCCAAGATCTCAAGAGGAGTATAGAAGAAAAATAAGTGTGGCATGGCCATCCCCCGGGGTGTGTGTGTGTGTGTGTGTGTGTGTGTGTGTGTGTGTGATTTTTCTTGCTTTCTGTCTCTCTGGCAAGTGCAATTTCTTGCTTTCTGTCTCTCTGGCAAGTGCACGTGCCCTATAGCAAAAACCTCTCAAAAAATATCATAGGATCCTTTTCACATATGTTGCACCTGATTTTAGCAACGTGGCATAGATGTAAGCATTTCAATGCTTGATGTCACCTCAATTCTCACTGAAGGAAACTAAGAAACATAAATCATTTGTTTTCAACTTCTTTTTTTTATATTCATATTACCTGTGATACGGTACAACAATGTGCAATAATTGTTATTTTTTTAGGTTTCTTTGTAATAGGGAAGAAAATATTTTCAGTCAAGGACACTAGCACAGTCATACTGTGAATACAATATAAAAGGGAAAAATTAAAGAAAATTAAAAAAAAAGAAAAGAAAAGCAAAGAAAAAATATTCTATCAGTAGCATTTTATTTCATGACACAAATAATTCCTTCTGTTATCATGAATTTTAACATGTGTATAGACTGAGAAGGGAGAGAAATATATTCATTTCATTTGGTCTCATAATACTTAGGCAGATGGTCAGCCAGTGAAAGAATGAGAAAGGCATTCTCACATGCAATACTTGACAGCAAATGACCTGAAATGTCTTTCCAAAGCATCTTTGCATTAATGCTTAATTTTTTTTTTCCTGAAATACAATCAGTCTTTGTCTTTTTAATTAAACTACTGCCTGCTAGTTGTATGAGGTGTAATTTTCCCTTAGCCACTTATGAAATAGAAACGATCACTAATATGTGGAAAGGACCATAGTAACCAAATGCCTAGAAAACTCCTTTTTAGGGCCAGCCAGTGCTGTGGTGGTTAAAGTGGCTGGTTTCCACATGGCCAAGTGAGGAGTTAGAGTACTAGACCCAGAAGCTTGAAAAATATGCCAGGTGTGCATGCATGTACGCTCAAAATCCTGAGAGGAAAATGGAGAAGGATGGCAGTGTAGTCATCTCCCCAGGGGTGCTTTCTTACTTTCCCTCTCTTTCTCTCTTTCTTTCCCTGGCAAGCACACATGTCCTATAGCAACTTCTGAGGGGGGGATGGGAAGACGAAGAAAAATTTTTTAATTCCTTTTTTATAAAATATTAAATGTATATCTCTACATGTAAAGGAAATCTACCTACAATCAGTGCATTTGTTCAACTCGTCAAAACGTTTTCTGCAAATCCCCACCTCAGAAGACCATCATCATTCTCACCAAGTTAACAGCCATAGAAACAATTTTATAAATGAAACATATAGCAAGACATTAAGTATCCCAGGAAAAAAGTGCTACTTTACATTCACAAAGGAAAAGAAATGAAGTCCCAAAGTGAAAATTGTCCATTGTCATCACTTCGTTGCACTTAAAGGCTTTCATTAAATCACAAAGAACTTTAGAAAGTACTAATTTCATTTAAAATATGAAAACTTCAAACTATACCTACAGCTTGGACTAGTTCATAAATCAGCAAGTTTTCAATTTAAATAAGAGACTACATGTATGTTTATAAGCAGTCCTATAAAAGGGTTTTTCTGTGTCTTTCTCATTCTCATTTCTTTTTTCTTTCAAAATTATTTCACATCTCTATTTCAGACATCTGTATCCTTTAGTACATATAATACTTAGAAATCTGGAAAACATGATGGCTATTGTGGAACATAATCATACTACATTGATGAATGACTATTTACAAAATGATTTTTATCATTTTAAGGAGGAAAATGTAATCGAGATTTGAAATTTCAGACAAAATGCTTCAACTCAAATGATGCTGACTAGCTATGAGCTTCTGGAAGTCACCCACCTGGGGCAGCATGCGGTTTTCTTCCTCCAGCTGTCTTACTCTTGCCTCCAGCTGCCTAACATAGGACAAGGTTGATTCTAAAATTAAAAAGAAAGAACTCACATTATACACAAAAGTCTTGTTTGGTGCATTGTCAGGATATTTCTGGCTTGATTTATTCAAATCAGGTAGTGACTATTCTGTTATTTAAAAAGGGGGGGAAATCCTCCCAGATAAATAATACAGAAGCCATTAAAACAGTTTTACAATGTTAAGAAGTAGTAGAGAAATGTATAGGTAGTGAGACTGCAGGCTTTCGCACACCAACCAACCCTCAGAATATTAGGCATCTTGAAGATAATTGTCTCCTTTTTCCTCCTTACTTTGTGCACTTTTTTTTACATTTTTAAATTTATACTTAATCACTGTACACCTTTACCATGTACAAAATGGTTTTTGATGAATAGTCCAACATGTGAGACTTTTTCTAAAGTTAACTATACCCAAAAAAAAAGACAGGAAAAATATAAAGCAATTTTTTTTCAATATCAATTTCCCTTATTTTCTTATTAATAGTAAATATTCTAAGTCATTACAGCAATATTACTTATTTTGACAAACCAATAGTTATTAAAGCTGCCACACAGAGAACAGCCACAAAAGCACTAAATAATTAGATTTACGTTTAGTTTGGACTTTGATTTTGGCTGAGTGTTTTTCCCAAAACTCTATATAAAGTAAAGGTAAACTTGAGATTGATTCGTTTTCATCTCTTCACAAGTTCAAGAATGTACAAAAAGCTTAGAAGTAGCATCATACTTAGTTTCTGTTCCATGCTAAAACTCTGAAGTTTATAGTTTTATGTCAGGAAAAGGGTCATGGAGAAAGAAAAAAGCAGAGTTACATTTTAGAAAACGATCTGACAATACAGTGACTCATCTTCATTAAATGAAATGATTGTTACAATTCACTTATTTCCCAAGAACAAATATATTTCAGGAATAGTAAAATGTACATAGCAGTAGAATCCTTCCAGAGCATATTTTCATAATTAATATATTAGAACACTAGAACCTCTTCAATGTCCTTGATCTTCAGTTTCATAAACAAAAAGCACAAGGCAAGAAGGTGGAACATTTAAAAGGCAAGTGTTTGGAGTTCCTAAGAATACAAGGTTAAGATGAATGGTGATGTGAATCAATACCTTAGTCTGAAATTCATTATGTAAACTCTACTTCATTATTCTTATGTGGAAATTGCTTATGTGAACTCAATTTCATTTCTATGACCTCCAAAGCAACAGCTAACATTTTATTTTCTAAAATACATAAGAAGTGTACTTACGTGTGCATCTTAATTCACAAATACAACAATTAAGCTCATCGCCAACCAGTTACTAGTATGCCTGTTTGCAGAAAACCCCCATCGCTGACATTAATATAATGATCCACTGACTTCACACCAAGGGAGAAGATTAGCCTCAAGTATCTCATGTAAGACAGAAACACCAGGTAAAGAAGACTGAAGACATTTATTAGAGATATATACTCATATGTTAATGTAGTGAAATGTGAAAACTCTGCTTTATGGACTCTTCCAAAAAGTATACAGCATAAATGAATAGCCAAATTAATGATGTCAGGCATTTGTTTTAGATAAGGTCGACTACATGAATAAGTGATTTGCAGATTAATATATGAATGTAGCTTGCCTTATTTACAGTTTCCCAAAGCCCTCACTTTGATAAGGGCCATCCAAGTGAAAAGCTGATCTGTAATATTCTATTAGGTCGTCAGGAAAGTCAACGTATTTTTCTATGCAAAAGTGCATCATGACTTTCCTGATGACCCAATAAATAAATCATGAAAACCTACAGTTCTCTTCTCCTTTGTTCATAATGTAGACCTTACCTTTATGTCCCTACCCTGTTCTCTCACTAAGGCTGTGATATGTCGGGCAGCTAAACAGGCATCACCTAAGGTGATTCAGGTGGTATTTGAAAACGCCACAGAGTGTGTGAATGGAATGTTTTAATTCAGTAACTATCTTCAGTTGCTTTAATCTGTTTTAGAACTTTTTGCAGTTTACATATTTGATGGTTTCATTAAGTCTCCTCTTAAATCAAAAAAATATATTATGTCAGTTCTCAAAAGGGGGCAGGCAAAAACTTCTGAGTTTGAAAAACATTCTCTAACTCTCAATTTTAATGTTGAATTATAATAGATAAGTCCAAATCTTCATTGCAAAGCAGTCACTGCAAATACGGGCTGGAATGGGAAGAGATAAGAGTATTTTTAAACAGGTGAAATAATGAGAAAAAAATAGTAGTACAAAGGCAAAGGTAAGGAGGGTTTTGTGTTCATTCATTCAATGAATATGTATTGTGTTATTAATTTGTTTCAGGCACTGTTCTGGGTTGGGATGAAGAGAAGGCCACTTATCACAAGCCTTAACGAGTTTCCCAGAATACAAATTCCTTTTTAGGATAGCAAGTCCATGTTCTGTGTTCCAGAAGTCCTTATTAATTGTTCCAGATACTTGGCCTATCTTGCAATTATTACTTAACAATTATTAGATATCCAGAATGAAAAAACCTTCTATGGGATAAAACAGGGAGGATATCTAATCTGTACACATGCTATTAGTTGTTTTCTTCAATAAGAAACTGATTACAGCATTCATTTTTTCTTTTTTTTAAAGAGACTTTTGCTACAAGGTGCGTGTGTTTGCCAGAGACAGAGAGACGGAAAGTGAGAAATCACCCACCGGAGGATGGCCACACCACACTCCCTTTTCCTCCATTCTCCTCTTAGGATTTTGGGTATTCACGTACATGCACCTTGCATGAGTTGCAAGCTTCTCGGTCCAGAACTTGAACCACAGTCAGCAATGTGGGAGTCCAGCAACATAACCATTATACCAACTGCTTGTCCCAACCATCTTTAATGGAATGGAGTAGGCAAACACTTTTCTGGAATATACCAACAGATCAGAATTGACTCTCCAAGCCCTTACATGAAAACCCTTTGGGAAAAAGTACCCAATCTGCCAACTGTGACATAGGAAAAAATGAGACTTCAAGGTTTATTAATGCACCATAGGTCAGTAAGCTTAACTCGTGATACATAATCAAAACTGAAATTTAAAAAGATGCAAACTATATTTAAAATAAACCAGGATAGGATAAAGAATAAGAAATTCCACACTTAAAAAAAAGAGAAAGAAATCAAAATCCACATCCTGGTCCTGGTTCATCATTTAGAAAAATGAGAATAGGTAGATTCTTCTCATGGTGTAAGAAAGTGCCAGAACATATTTGGCCAGATGTGCTACAATCCCTTGCCTATGCTCTTTTCCTTTTCCTTCTTTCTCAAGGGTGTCAACCATGAAATAAGCTAGTATCCCATTACATGCAAGGAATAAGGAGGGCAGCTGTACATTGACCCAGGAGATGAGTCTGATAAAAACTGACATTCTTTTTACTGTAAAGTGATAAATAGAAAACTGCATTAGAATGGCAATAATTTAAATTGACCATTACATTTTATAGCAGTAGCCGACAGCTTCATAATACCAAGAATTTCAGAATGCCATTTTGGCTTTCAGAACTCTGAGAATGAAGCTTAAAAAGGGCATCCAAAAAAAAAAAAAAGTCAACTCTCCTGCTACAAATTACATGGATAATGTGTTAAAGAAGGACCTTATCTTCAAGAAACCTATAACCAGTTGACAAGAAATAAGACAAAAAAAAATCTTAAGAAATAAGAAGATACTGTAAATGTAGTGCTAAATCATGTGAAATGTCAGAATATGAGTAAAGGAAAATGATAATATTGGCTGGAGTTCTTAGGAGGGATAAACTCAAGCTTAAAATGAATAATGGGGGGGGTGATTTTTGTTTTAAGAAATGGTTCCACTATGTCGTGATCCTCCTGTCTCAACCTCTAATGCAGCAGGAAATTCGGGCGTGCTACCACACCTGGTTTAGGACCACAGAATTTTGACAGGCCAGATATATAGTAGTGGAGATGCAGAATGGACAAGGGCAAAAGCATAGAGTGATCCTGTTTCAGGGGATTAGGAAAGGAATCACATGACAGAAGAGAATGACATGCTAGCTAGCAGAAGGAACAAAGGCCAGGTCAGGTCCTATAGTCAAGATGTCAATTTGCTTTTAAACTCCCCCAAAGCTATTTTATTCTCTTTCTACTCTGGAAAAATCTATGGATACCTCAGTGTTAAGGAAGCAAGGTGAAGTAAACAACATCAATGCAAAAATTAGACATTCTCAAGATATTCTTGGGGGTAAATCTCAGGCACACTTTCAGAGTAGAAATAATTTCTCTGTGTGTCTTCCTTAAATTTATATATAAAACTTACAGCACCTCTTACAATAAAAACAAGTGCAGTACATAAGAATTCCACTAAAGAGCCATCCCCATAGTGTAGTTGTTAAGTGCTATGCAGAGGGAACCGGATCCCACATGGCCAACCACAGTTTGATTCTCAGTCCCATAGACTTGAAAAACCTACCAGGCACAGATGCATGTATGCCAAAATCCTGACAAGATGAGAAAATGGAGAAGAGGGGATTGTGATATGACACCAACCAACTGGGGGTGGGGGGGTGGGGGTATTCTCCCTCTTCCTCTGTTTCTCCTTTCCCTCCCTCCCTCCCTCCCTATCTCTGACAAGTTCACAAACATTCTGGCAATTAAAAAATAAGACAAGAATTCCATTAAACTCCACATCTCCTAAATGATTCCAACATTCTAGACTGAATGTACTTTAGAAGTTTTCTAAGCCAACCTGCTCTGACTTGTTTTGCAGATGAGAGAACAAAATCCCAGAGAAGTGAATCAGACTCTAACACTGGGAATTAGTCAAGTGTATTCAAAAGACTTTATTTCATTGCTAAAGCACCACAGTGATTCCCATTTTCATCTTCTAATCATGAGATGACGTCAAGCTTCTTACACAGATAAATACTGAGTTCTTTTTGATTCTTCCTGATTTTTAGATATCTTTGATTAATTTGTTTTTATAATAACTTTGTATTTTCCTCAGACAATATCCTTCTCTTGATTTCACTTCAATT